GGAGGCAATGGGAAGGAAATACCATTCCTTTTCTAGATGAAAGTCAAAATATAAGTTGGAACATTAGGGGATTGAACGAATAGGAGAATAGGGATATTGTGCAGTCCTTAAAAGGGAAATCGAAGCCAGATATACTTTTCTTACAAGAAACAAAAATTGATCAGTGGAAGGAGTAACTTTCAAAACAGATTTGAGACTCTAGATGGGTTAGATGGGCTGAACTCAAAGCTAGTGGTACAAGATGTGGTATAATAATTTTGTGGGACAAGAGATAATGAAATTGCATTGAATTTCAACATGGGTCTTACTCTATCTCATGCTTATCTGATAACTCTTCAATGAACTTCAGATGGGATTTCATAGGAGTATATGGGCCGCACATTAATCTGGAGAGGGAAATCCTTTGGCATGAACTTGGGGCTGTTAGAGGAATATAGGATGTTCAATGGGTAATTGGTGGTGTCTTCAATGTCTGTAGGTTTGAAAGTGAAAGATACAATTGTGTTAGAAGATCCAGGGCAATGAAGGTGTTCTCATATGCAATCAATGACATATGCTTAGTAGATTTACCACTTCATGGGGCGCATTTTCACATGGTCTAAAGAGGAGGAAAGCATCCAAGCCTCAGGAATAGACAAATTTTTTATCTCCTCTGAGTGGAATGACACTTTCAATAATGTCAAGCAACTTGCTCTTCCAAAGGTCATTTCTGAACACATTTCTATCCAACTGGAAAGTAGATATTGGGGAACTAATCCTTCATACATTAAATTTGAAAACATGTGGCTAAGTATTGATGGATTCTTGCATAGAATAATGGCATGGTGGCAAAGCTATAAAGTAAATGGCAGTCCAGACTTCATTTTCACTCAGAAATTGAAGCTACTCAAGAAAAATATTATTACTTGGAATAGGGAGGATCTGGAGAAGTCAGATGCAAAAAAGAACAAAATTTTGGAGGACATATTCGTGAAACAACAGATCACTTAAAGGGAGATCCCAATCCTTGGAAGAGAAAAAGAATTTCGAGGGGTGAAATAAATAGCCAAAGTAGAAGAAGTATCATGGAGGAAAATGTCTAGGTGCCTATAGCTCAAACAGGGAGATAGGAACACCAAATTCTTCTACAAAGTTGCCAACTCTAATAAAAGATCAAATTGCTTTGACAGGTTGAAAGAGGCAGTGACATTACCGAAGATAAGGACTTAATCAAGAGTGAAATCCTAGGATTTTACCATCAACGGTATAAAGAAAATGAGACTTCGAGGCCAACAACAAGACTGAAAGATGTAGCATCAATCACAAGGGAAGAAAAAAAGTGGCTGGAAAGACCTTTTGAGGAGTCTTAGGTACTGGAAGCAATCATATGAAGTGCTCCAGACAAAGCTCCAGGCCTAGACGGGTATACTATGGCATTCTATCAAAAAACATGGGACGTGATCAAACATGACATTGTGAGTGCTATCCAATATTTCCACCAAACTGGACAGATGGTAAGATAATATAATGCATCATTTATAGCCCTAATCCCTAAAAAGAAAGGGGATGGGGAAATTGAGAGATTATAGACCAATCAGTCTAATTGGCAGTGTATACATAGTTGTTTCCAAAATCCTAGCAGAAAGGTTGAAGGGTGTGATAGGAAAGTTGGTATCACGACACCAGAATGCTTTCATAAAATAAAGATAGATCACAGATGTAACATTGTTAGCTAATGAGTTTCTAGATTGGAAGTAAAAATCATGGCAGCCTGGTCACCTGTTCAAATTAGATACTGAAAAAGCCCTCGATTAACTAAATTGGTCATATCTCATCACTATTCTGAGGAAAATAGTTTTGGAGAAGTCTGGATTAGGTGGATCAAATTTAGTATTATCATAGTTAAATACTCTATTTTGATCAATGTTGGGCCTGTTTCGCATTTTCTCCTCAGAAAGGTCTCAGAGAAGGTGATCCTCTCTCTCTCTCTCTATTTCTGTTTATCCTAGCTATGGAGGAGATTAGCAAAATAATTAACAAAGCAAATAAGTTGCACTGGATGGAAGGATTTAGGGTGGGGAATGATGCACATAACTCAGTATCAGTCTCACATCTTCTTTATGCATATGACACTCTCATATTTTGTGGGGTTTAGGGATCACAAGTAATGTACTTGAACCTCACACGTATGATTTTTGTAGCCATATCAAGTTTACAAATGAACAAGTCAAAAAGTACAATTATCGTGTTAATGATGTTCCTGATTTGAAAGAGCTATCTGATATAATATGTTATAGTGTGGGATCCTTCCCAACTACATACCTAGGCCTACCATTGGGAGCATCATACAAATCACAAGGAATCTGGAGTGGGGTTATTGAGAAGTTTGAGAAATGATTGACCTCTTGGAAAATGCAGTACCTCTCTATGGGAGGTACATTAACGCTTATTAACACTGTGTTGGATAGTATTCCTACATACTTTATGTAATTATTCCCAATTCTAGTTAAAGTGAAGAAGAGGCTAGATCAAATCAGAACAAACTTCTTATGGAATGGCAACAGTCAAAGTCATAAATTTTATTTGGTTAAATGGTCAAAGGTTATTTTACCAAAGGAGCATGGAGGATTGGGTTTTAAAGATTTGATATTACATAATAAGAGTATGATAATGAAATGGAATTGGAGGTATAATTTAGAGGATCCTGGTTTGTGATTAATGCTAAACATAGTGTGATGAACAACTGGTGCACAAAACTTAGCAGATTACCTCATGGTACAAGCTTATAGAAACACATATCCAGTTTATGGGATGAGTTCCAACTCAACTCAAAACTCAAGTTAGTGAGTGGAACACTCATCAAGGTTTGGAAAGACAAGTGGCTGGGAATAATGACACAAAAAGATGAATTTTACAGTGAAGAAAGCATATGCACACCTATGCTGCAACAATAAACTGATAAATAATTGGCCATGAAAACTAATTTGGCGAACAAAACTGCCTCCTAATGTGATTTGTTTAAGATGAGTTGGCTTAAATGTAACTTTCCTCACATAAGACAACCTCAGCAGAAAGAGTATACCAATAATGAATAGATGCTAGATATGCAATTTGGATTCTAAAAGTGTCAGACATGTCTTTTTGCATTGTCGTTTAGCATGTGATATTTGTAACATGTTCCTCCCCATTTTTGGACAAGCCTGGGTCAAGCCTAATAGCATCAAGGAAGCATATGAATGTTGGTATTCATGGAGAGTTGGTAAATCCATCAACAAATGGGTAATGGTACCTGCTGCTATCTTTTGGTGCATCTGAAATGAAAGGAATCATAGATGCTTTGATGGAATCTCAACTCCGACTCATGTAATCAAAGAAAAATTCTTATTGAATTTGGTTAGTTGGATAAATCATGCACATGTAACTAGTTGTGTTCAATTTTTAATTGTGTCTGCTCCTTAGTTATAGAATTGTTTTTTGTATATATGAGCAGACACCATCTCTCTTAATTGTAGTCTTTTGCCTGCATCCGTTGAATGCTTTTAAGGAATTCTTCTTACTTTATCAAAAAAAAATAAAAAATCATGTTCACTGATAGGAATCATGAGTTGATTGAGAAGCATCTCTTGTATGTTTATGGATCTGATATTGACTTCCAAGAGTTTTGCTTACAAGTGTAATTTGAGTGTGCAAGCAAGGATAGACCAGCCCTTTTACGGGCGATGCTTCATTAGTAAAATGGTTTTGACCATAAAACTTCATATGAAAGTTCTTTTATGGTGGACAGTAAATGCTACATCATCCAGCCATGAAGTTATGTAGTTATCACAGAAAAAGTTACTTTTGAATTGAACATTTGTCCTAACATTTCCAGAAAAAAATTCCTGTTAATATTGAAGTAGCATTTCATGAAGGTTTTGTTGCTTGTTTAGAAGCTTGTGTTGGTATGAGTATGTCCTTATATTTGAAAACTCTACCAGGTTTATTTATCATCATTCATACCTATCAGTTCCTGCAATTTACGGGACACTCTGTTCATCTGAAGTTTGCTTTGTACCTGAGTAACTTTCTCTACCTATGAATATATTTAACTGTGATCTTATTCCAGACTCAATATTCCTTTTTCAACTACCTGCTTATTCCTTGGGCATGCTATCTTCGTATGGATTTCGAGTTTAGATCATCCAAAACTTTCTGCAAAAGAAGTGAAGGGTTTCTTCTCCTTACTTGAATGTGATCTTGTTTTAGACTCAAAATATGTTTGGACTATCTATTGAATGCTTTGGTGCATGCTTTCTTTGTATGCACGTCTAACATATACCATCCAAATGCTCTTTGAACAAGTTAAGGGAAGTCGCAATACAAATCAAGTAGCAAGATCGGTGTAGTTTTTAAACTAAAAGTTAATTAGTGCATATGATATTGCCGGACTGGAGGGGAGCTAGCTATTGTTTACTTAAAATTTAATCTGATCAGTCTTAGAAATATATTTTTTTTTATCTTCAACTTAACTTCTAAGAAAATTCTTTTTCATTTGTTAAGTACATGAAAGTATAATGATGGCAGATGTCATTGAGATTTTTATGCAGGATATATAAGAGTAAGATAAATTGTTTGATTACATATGTAAAGTCTATTTGAGAGTTGCAGAGTTTGCAGTTTTAGTATTGGTACCAAAATATGATGATCAATAAGAAGCTTCCAGAACTATGTGAACAACATATTATCCACATTATGACACTTAGTTTCAGATAAAATTCAATGAAATTTAACCGAGGCAGCTAACCGTCAGAAGGTTCCCAAGCTGCACACTATTAAAGTCTGAGACTTCGTAAATTATTTGGTAATTGCGTTAGTATGGATTTGCTCCCACAATTCATACGAGCTTGATAGGATGATAAACATTTGAAGTCTATTGTAGTTTCATAATAGTACATAATTATCAAATGTATATTGAGTTTGTCCATTAATTCAAGCTTTAATTGTGCCCACCCCTACTCCTGTATACAACATGTGGTCGCTTTCTTCTGAGTTTACAACTTTCATCCTTTCTCATATTAGGAGCATGATGATCACTAAGAAACTTACCATTTTGACTATTAAAGTAATTTTTTTAAAGGTTCCCCGGAAGGGGTTATATTCAATAAGTCAAAAGGAACATACAAGAGGGCATATACCTGCCCTCTTCCTATCATAATGAGAATAGACAGACCATTCCTACAATTTGACTCATCACAAAAACAAAAGCAGAAAGAGGAGGGTCTCTCCTAGTACAGTTTGAGAGCCCAAAAATAAGGACTAAGTACTAGACTTACTACAATCAATGTAGCCAGGATCAAAGATGAAGGTGCTTTTCTCACCTTGATTCTGAAGTTTGGTCAACTCTTCTCATCATTCTTCGTTGCGGCTGTAATCTTCCTTGTTAAGTTTATAGCCCCAGTGAAGAAAGAAGTCTTCTTATCATGTTCTGCAAGATTGGCTATGAAATCTGCAGGGATGTTGCCTACTCTGAAAGAGTGATTAAACTGGAAATGACCTTCAGATAACATGGAGTGAATATCATTGATGTCCACTTTGATCTGCCAATAAGTGGAAATTTCCTTTTTGATCATTTTGATCACAAGAAAAGAGTCAGATTCCACTATTAATCTATTGCAAACATGATCAATACACCATCTAAATCCAATTTTGATAACTTATGCTTTAACTGAGTTATTAGTGGTGCAACCAAGATAGACAGTGAATGCCATGATCATATACCCCAGGTGATCCCTCAAAGTCCCACCTTGACCGGCACTACCTAGATTCCCTTTGCAACAACCATCCACATTAAGACTAAATTCTCCATCACGACCCCAAACTCCCACTTTAAGATGTCGTGATGGCACCTAGTCTCTAAACTAGGTAAGCCTAACATACAAAGGAATTTAACAGAAATAGCCACTAAGAATATTAAATTAATTAATAAGTCTCATAATATCATTAATACTGAATAAAAATCACTAAATATTTTTCAAAACCGGTGAAACTGAGTCATAAGCTCTAAGAGGTACACTACAAGTCTCAAAAGTACAATACTGTTTGAGGTGAAAATAAACAGTAGAAAATACAGTAGTAGAAGGTGACTCAAGGTCTCTGGACGTCAAGCAGCTATAGCTTGAAGTGTCCGAAATATCTAGCCCAATCACTGGCGTCTGGAACGAGATGAAGTAACTGGAAATGCACAAAAATATACAGAAGCATGGTATGAGTAAACCACAATGGTTCCCAATAAATATCAAGCCTAACCTCGGTAGAGTATTGATGAGGCCAGGTCAAGACACCTACTAGATAAAGAAAGCTGAACAGAGTGTTAACAAAATCTAATAACGGAAAGCGAATAAATGAAAATAGAGCAGTACAATAATATAAGGCTAGCAATGAAAATTAAGGCAATAAAAGAGAAACAAAGAGTGAACATATGATAGAAACAACAAATGATCAAGTATCATGAGAATACAAGTAAAACAATGAAGGAAAGATGATAATCGTTCAAATCAACAAGCCTTTTTGGCATAGAATGTACACCAAGAATCACAATCGAGGTACCACACCTCATATTCTCATTTCAGAAGTCACAATCACAATCTTCTTTATATCAGCGCGTGAGCCTTGCATTTATTTTAAAAATATTTTTCGCGAAATAGCTACATGTGTTTTAGCCCTGGCTTCAATTAATTTCCCTTACTAGCAACACCCGTATAAATCCCACCTTGCTCATCGCATAATTTTCAATACCCACCCTTATACTACTTCATGTGTATCAATATCACAACACAATAATCTACTCGCGCCACATGTGCCCATATGCCGCAACATTTCAAAAATCAATAATAATAATGTTACCACAACACATAGCCCATAGCTCAACCACAATGTGTACAATAATCTCAATAACAACAAATGAATGAGAAATAACTCAACAAGGAAAGGTATTCCAATAACCAACAATTTCAACCGCAACCGTGTTAATAGCTTTCAAAAACTACAACTTCAATACTCAACAGTAAAAGTTTTTCCATGAAATAGCATCATCCAATTCTAATGCATAACATAAGCTTAACACTAAACGAGATAGTATGAAATAACAACTATGACTAAATGCATGAGAATAACTCAACAATAGAAAGAATAATATCTAACAACAACTATTAATAAATGCACATAAGGAAACTTTGACAAGGGAAACTAGAACATGTAGTAACATCTTCAATTAAAGCATGCGAGAATAAACTTGACAACAAAATATAGAACAAATAATAATATCTTCAATTAAGTGCTTATACGTAACCTAAGAGTCTAAACTGGTCAAATACCACATATAAACTCGTGTACACACTCGTCCCCTTATGTACACGTCTTTCACAAAATTCAAATAGTAGAAAGAACCCAAATCCTAAAGGGTAGTTCCCCTACACAAATTTAGATAAGATACTTACCTCAAACAAGCTAAATAAATCCACTAAAAAGCCCTTCGCGCGCAAGTCCAACTCCGGACGGCTCCAATCTAGCAAAAAAAAATATTATCATAAATAAAAGCCATAGGAAGCAATTCCAGATAATCAAAGATTCAATCTTTAATAAAAATCCAAAATCAAATCAAAAGGTCAACCCCGGGCTCACACCTCGTAACACGACCAAACTCACAAATTCCGAACACCCATTCCGATACGAATCCAACCATACCAAAATCTTCTTATTCCGACCTCAAATCGACCTTCAAATCCTCATTTTATACTTTAGAAAATATTTTATAAACATCTCCAATTTCTCCAATTCAAATTACTAATTAGATGATAAAAATAAAGATGGAATCATGAATAGTGGAATAATCCGAGTCAAAGACACTTACCCCGATCCAAATCGTGAAAATCCTCTCCAAAATCTCCCAAAATCGAGCTTTCTAACTAAAAATGTGGTAAATGAAATAAAACCCTCAATCCAGCCTATTTCTGCGTAGGCATTCCGCATCTGCGGACTAACAGTCGCATCTACAGAAAAATCATCGCAAATGCGGCTTGCACTTACAGCCCAAGACTTCCGTTTCTGCAGGAAAAAGGGTGCACCTGCGCTCTCGCTTATGCGCAAATATCACCGCAACTGCAGTCCCTCGCCAACAACCTAAAATCCGCATCTGCGGAGCATTTCTGCTTCTGCAATTGCACACCTACAAACCCAGCTCACCTAGCCCTACTCACATCTGCCGCCATATATCCACCTATGCGACACTGCACTTGCGGCCCAAATAGCGCAGGTGCGAATGCACCATACTTTAGCAGCCTTCAGCAATCCTCTAAGTCTCCAATTGGTCTGAACTCAACCCGAAACACACCCCGGACACCTGGGACCTTGTTCGAACATACCGTCAAGTCCCAAAATATGATGCGAACTTACTCAAAGCCTCAAATCTCATCAAACAACATCAAAAATCATGAATCCACCCCAATTCAAGCCTAATGAAACCAATAAACTTCCAACTTCTAAAACTAATGTTGAACCATATCAAATCAACTCCGAATGACCTCAACTTTTGCACACTAGCCCCAAATGACATAATG